AGTTTTCCCTTGGGGGGGGGGGAGGAGGGGGGGCGGGCTACTCATGTAAACGCATGCCCTAGTCTCGAGGGGGGATACACGCGTGCGCTGTTGTCGTTAGGCCATTAACCTCGCGTCGCTACTGGGACGGAGCGATTCGCCGGTCCAGGCTACGTTTTACGAGGATTTTCTTCCATTTTGCTGTGCAAGCCAGACATGCCATAAAGTGATTGGCATCCGTGGTAGCCAATCGAGGGGGGGGTGGGGGGGTTACCCGATCTCGACGCTGCATGGCCACATCTTGGGGGTCTTGCCATACCTCGTTGCTTGAATTTAACTTTCACGCATCCCTACTTTGACTCGAGAGCCGAAAGGGCAGAATACTCTGTACCTCTAAACAGGAAGAAGGGTGGGAGGGTGAGCAAAGTTGTCGCGGTTTTCGTGTCGTGGGTGCGCCTCGCGGACTCCGGTGGTGTCGAAGCCCCTCGAGTGCACTAACGAAACTATTTACACGCACGTTTTGGCCAACACCTTTGTTCCCACCAGCCTTCACGGGTGCACTCTTTTCCGTCTTCTATTCTCTGCTTTCCCATATCAGCTTGTCGCATTTAAGGCGTTGTGCCCACAGACCTTAGAAGTTGTTTGTTCTTTTCTTCTGGTACCCTTTCGTTTGTCCGTCCCTGAGTAGGTCACGTTGGATTGTGTAGGGTATCGTGGACACCAACCTTCATCTTCAAAGGCGTATTTTTTTTCCTCTTGAACTACAATCGTTTATCCGTCCGTGTGTGTGTGCAGGTATCGTGGCCACCAACCTTCACCTTCAAAGGCGCCTGTTTTTTCCTCTTACAATATCGTCGTTTTTCCGTCCTTGTGTGTGGGTAGGGTATCGTGGCCACCAATCTTCAAAGGCGTTTGTTCTTCACCTTCTTGAGCTCTTGCCGTATTTCCGTCCGTCCGTCCGTCCGTTCGTCTGTGTGTCGTCACCACGTTTGACTGCTGTGTGTAAGTAGGGTATCGTGGCCATGGCGGTGGCGAACAAGGTGGACGCCATCCACCCGGGGTACGGCTTCCTCTCTGAGAGGACCGACTTCGCCCGTCACTGCAAGGACAACGGCGTCACCTTCGTCGGACCCACCGCCGAAAACCTACAGACTTTCGGTAAAGGGCCGGAGGGGTGTGGGTGTCTGTGTGTGGATCGGCCTGCAGGGCTTGTAGCGGTAGTGCATGTGACAGATATGATCGCGCGAAAATCATGAACGAATATGACGATTGTTCATGTGAAATCCTGGCGTGATTCATTTTCCATGATAAGGAGTGAAGGTTTTCATCAATCAAATGGAGATGCAGGGGATACCGTATATGACACAAGATAACACACACCCTTGACCAATTTTCGAAGCTCGATTTCTCAACTGCAGGAACAGTCACAGCGCCGAAAACGGCAGCGTTGAAACCGTCTCGTCGAGAGCTTTTCGAAAATGTATCGCTTCGTTTTTGCGTCCTCTTCGTGGAGAAATCGAGCTTTGAAAATCGGTCCAGGGGGTGTGTTATCTTGTGTCATATGCGGTACGTGGAACCCAACCCTAACCGTACCCAACGAAATGCCACTGATTACATTGATCGACTTCGTAAGTCGCGAGGGAATGGCTTGCTGTACCCTTCTCGGGATAAAAGTATTTCAGGCAGGAACCGCAGGAGGGGGTCCAACCCCTCCCTCCTATGTGACCCNTTGCGTCCTCTTCGTGGAGAAATCGAGCTTTGAAAATCGGTCCAGGGGGTGTGTTATCTTGTGTCATATGCGGTACGTGGAACCCAACCCTAACCGTACCCAACGAAATGCCACTGATTACATTGATCGACTTCGTAAGTCGCGAGGGAATGGCTTGCTGTACCCTTCTCGGGATAAAAGTATTTCAGGCAGGAACCGCAGGAGGGGGTCCAACCCCTCCCTCCTATGTGACCCCGGTTGGGTCGTCTAGCTAGTAGAAGTGGAGGATGGGGGCCAGAGGGGCAGCCGACAGGGTCCAATGATGGGAGAAAGAAAAAAAAAATGTTTGATATGAAATAGAGAGGTTTCGGAGTATGAGTAGTATGAGTTTGTGTATGAGTTTCGTTTGTTGTTAACGTTATCGAGGTCTGCTACGGCTGTTGCGCGAGCGGGCCTTGATCGTCTGTTGGTGACGGCGGGCGAAAGAAAACAAGCAAGCTCCCACCGGGCTATGGGTGCGGGGGGCACCGTCAAAGAAGGACGTTTGGTTGTCTCTCCCTGGTCGTTTCGGTGTGTCGGATATCGCTTCCCGTGTACTTGTCGCCAAGAGGTATCACGCTCTTGCTGTCTGCTTGTTTGGTCACATTTGCCGCAAAGTTTGTGGTTCGGTTATGAATGTGTGTGTACGTATCCTGATGACGTGCGTCGATCCGGGTGTGTTGTGTCGCGTGCACGGCAGGCGACAAGACTTCGGCGCGTGAGCTGGCCATCAAGCAGGGCGTCCCCGTGGTCCCCGGTACCGATGGCCCCGTGACCACCATTGAGGAAGCGAGGGACTTCATTGAGGGCACTGGAGTCGGGTGAGCGCGGGAGGGAAGGAGAGGGGGCGGTGGTGTGAAAGCGTTTGGCATGCCTCAGCGGGTAGACCATTGACCACGCGTCCTCGAGAGGACGGAGAACTGTTCCCGCAGGACCCATCACCGATGGCCAATCGTTCCTTCCTACTTTTGCCTTAGGTGGCTCAAAAATGTTTTCCTTGCCCCATTTGTCGTGTCGATATTACTTCCGGCCTTTTCAGCCCACTTTCATGCCCCCGTATGCTAGGGGGGAGTTGGATTCTCGTCTGTTGGTGTGCTATTGTGTCCTCCGGCCTTCCGCGGTAGGATGGAGCCGGGGGGGGTAGGTGGAAGAAGGGTGAACTCATAGTCGTGCATGCCGTATCGTTAGACCATTGACCTCGCATCCTACAAAGCCGGGACGGAGCACGCCGGGTTCCCAACGGACCAGGCTCTCACATCACCAAGCGTGAAGCGCCGTGACGTATTCGGCGAGTCTCATGGAGGGTGCGCTGCATCCTGCTAAGGGTGTTCGGCATCTTGTGCTTACTTCCTTGCATACGGATGACAGCTGCGTATGGCTTATTTAATTTCTGGTGCTTTCACTTACAGAGCCAGTTGTAAGCACTGTGTAACCGCCGAGCAGAGGGGGGTATCCTCGCTTTGTCTGTGTGCCCCCCTCTTGCTTGATTCACGTGCCCCTCTTCACATTGCGTTTTCGACCTTTTCCCCAGCACGACCTCCACTCTGCCACGTTGCTGTGAAGCAACGCAAGTACGTAATCCTTGTCCCCATCAAACTCAGACCTCGAACCAACCCCCCCCCCCCCTGG